CATATATTTTTAATACTGAAGGTAATTAACCATTCGAGCAACTTACCAAAGGTTGTGGAGGATTCTCCATCACTGGCAATTTTTAAATTCAGATTGGATGGTTTTTTTCTAAAGGATATGCTCTATTTGGGGGAAGTTCTCTGGCCTAGTATGGAACGCAGGAAGTCAGCCTGGATGATCACACTGGTCCTTTCTGGCCTTAGAATATATTAATTTAACTTTTTAGATTCTTAATGAATAAGCTTCCCTGGTCACTAGTTAATTTGTGTGTGCTGTCTTTTTTTTAAGTCTTACTATAACAGACTGACAACTCCAGGTAAATTATCTGCTTTCCAGCTGGCAGTGTATCTACAGCTGCCTCTCACTCCCAAATACACATGAGTAGCAGAGTTTACAGGCACTTCTTTATACTATAGAAGAAGGCATTTGAGGCGGAAGCATTGGTATCTGTTACAACTTGTGGGATTACAAAACAGTAAGTGCTAATTAAATCTTTATTTATATAGAGAAAAAATATGCAGTTTTAAGTGCCTTCTTCTGTAATGAAACAAAGTTTATTGTAAACACTACTAAGCCAGTGTGCTCAGGAGCTATAGACAGTGATAAGATTTCAGATACCTTTGGGCTGTTCATGTGGCGAGACTAGTCTGGCCATAATTCTATATTGAAAAACTAGAGTATTCTTCCTGCCCGTCCTCCTCTCAACACATACACTTAAATTCATCCTGCGCCATCCTCTCTTGCCATTGTCTCATCTTGTTGCAGTATCTGTTCTTCTGCACCCCACTCTACTGATTTCTCTTGGTGAAAGCCCCTTTATTTCGCCCCCCCAAACAGAGGTGAGGTATTGGGAGGTTGTCACGCAGGCTCACGTGCCACTTCCCACCCCCCATTTGTGTGAACACAGAGCAGGGCTTGCTCAGCCTTCTCAGGAGGGGGCTCTGTCCTTCCCACACTGCGCCTCCCCCCACACGCATGTCAGCTCGCAGGGAGTGGGACGGAGCAGCCTTTCCCCTGCACTCTGGGTTGCTGCCTCAGCAGCTGGATGTCACCTCCTGGATTCTAGTGCCCACCTGTACTCTCTACAGCAGTGAGTGCCCATGGAGGACATGGCAAGGGGGTGGGTGGGGTGGGGCTGGGGGAGAGGGGTACGGCATGGGGGGTGGGAAGAGACAGTGGCATTGGGCAAGGGGAAGAGAAGAGGTTGGAGGATGGGGCAGGGACAGTGGGGAGAGAAAGGGGATGGGATGGGGCAGGGGACAGTGGGGAGACGAAGGGGGATGGGATGGGGTGGAGACAGTGGGGAAAGGAAGGTGAAGGGTAGGGGGAAGAGAAGGGGATAAAGGAATGGGCAGGGGGAAGCAAGAACCCAGCATATGGCATCCCCTCAGCAGCAGCAGTAGCCCCAGCTGGGAGGCGGTTTCAGCAGCACCAAAGCAGCGACATCACAAAAGCTGCCGGTGCCAGAGTGGCCACCAACAGCAGCTGGGACTCCCCCATTAAGCCAGCCGAACCCCCAAGTACCGGCTGCCCTGGTACCACTCCAGGCAGGGGAAGAGAGCCAGTGAGACAGGGAACCGGCTTCACTGTGCATGTATGTGTGCGTACATGTGCACATTCACACGCTTTGTCCCCCACCCCCAAAAATAGCAGTCAAACTACACCTATGGTGGAACTGTGCTGGTTTACAGCAGCTGAGGATCTGGCTGAGGATCTCTCCATTTCAAATTATTTCTTGTTATTCTCCTACCTGCATAGTCTCCTCCTCTCCTAGGCTTCACCACCCCACCTCCACCCCCGTACTTTGAATTTCCCTTTCTTAATTTTCTCTCTCTTTTCCCGTCCCTTCTCTTTCACCCTCTTTCCAATCTACTGCTCACCTCGCCTCTGAAGGTTTCATTATATTAATTTAGTGGGATCTGCTACCCATTGAGGTTGCATCTGAGCACCTGACAGTGATTAAGTGCAGTGAGATATTAAATCAAACCATCCACGAAAGACAAACAAAATAAAATAGCTCCCCTTCCATGTGTCACTGAAGCGTCAAGCAGATGTTTGGCCAAGATGTGCTATAGACAGGACTCTATAGGCCTGTAAAGATGCTATGATGGACTGGGGATCATATACCAAAAGCTCCATACCTTCGGCCCTCACTCAGGAGGATCTAGGGACTGTCAGCAAACGTGCCTCAGATGTTGTAGGGATTGAATAGGAAGAGAGGTATGTTCTAACGTAACACATTCCTAGATTAGGCCCAGGTCAGAACCAATACAGTGAATTGAAATGGGACGTTTATGTGGTTCACAGGGCACTATTGTGCTGATGTCAGTGCGCTCCCATCAGCAGATAGATAAGCATGTTCTGTTGTAGCTGAAATTTCTAAGCAAATTGCGAGGGCTGAGGTAGTTAGAAGTGGTGTGGCGAAGTCTGCATCCAGGAGGAAAGGTCGTGCTTACACAGCTAAGCGCAGATATCGAAAGCAGTAGTAGCTACTGTGTTACCTGAGAATCCAAGAGCTGGGAGGTGTCCAAAATTAGAAAAGCAAAGAACCTGCATCATTCAGATATGAGAGAAAAGAGATGTAGAGCTGAGTGTTCGCTAGATACCGATGTTTTCAAAAACAACCATTCCCCTGTGTCTCTCCTGTGCCTTGCCCTTTTTGTGTCTCACTGCCTCTTCCACCCAGGCGTGCCTGGAAGGGTAGGAGCTGCTGCTGGAGGGCAGAGGATGTTATGGGTGGAACGGCTTTTCCATATGTAATTTCTGTACCCGACATGTTCACCCTGTGGTTACTTTGTAGAGCACTTGATGAGAGTCCAGGTGCAGCCGGCAGGTCACAAGATGCTGACCTTCCTCCTTGTGTCAGTCGGTGAAATAAAATATTACTGGCAATGAGTAGCACAGGTTCAGCTGCTTGCTGAGTCACTGATCAAAGTACTTAAGCATGTGCTTCACCTTAGGAAATGAATTGGGCTACTACTGTGTTTACCATTAAGTTGGTGTTTCAGAGCTTTGCTTGATCGGACTTAAGGATTGGGAGCCACGTTTCCGGTCTGTAGTGGCAACGGAATGTCTCTAGATTCTTCTCTCAGGCGTTCCCCTGCTTCCCCAACGTCACTCCAAATACCAGACAGACATTTAGAAACTCCTTGCAGTCTTTTGAAAACGTGCAGCATCAACTAGTGAGCCGATAAGGGGACTCTGGTGGAAAAGATAGATGTAATTTAGCTGAACAGAATTGCCAGATGCATGAAAAGCTCAGAGCTATTTACTGTTTACGTATGTTTCGTTGCTTGTGCCAGAATGCTCAGCTGTTGCACCTCCAAACACAACACACATGTACAGAGCATACTTTACTAGTCACGTAAGGCTGCTAATTTTGACACCTGTATAATAAATCTGTTGGCTAGATGCAAACCTGCAGGCTGTGAAGGATTTTAGAAAAATAAGCAGAGAGGTGACAGTTCTTGTAAGAACTTTGATTCAAAAGGTAATAATTACAAAAAAAAAAAAAATTAGAAACTGAGCTAAAAATATTTAAAAGGAACAAATACTGGGGAAAAAAGAGAAGTCAACAGTTAGTCAGCTGAGAGTGCATTACCAGAGAAAAGCAGCTCCTTGCAAAGTGAACTTTGACATTTAAGACCACGCTCCTGGATGTCTGTAATAGTTATCATTCAGTCACTAAGTGCTTACAGTCGACTCCTTAAAAATTTAAAACTTCATTCCAGACTCAACTCCTTTTTTTCATTTTTTGACAGCTGATGAGTATATTTTGTTAAGCATATTAATATTTCAGAAACAGGTTTTTTTTCCATGGTATCCCATTTGTTTTATACTTGATACTTTAGAAAATCCCCAAACCTTTGAGCATTGATTGTTAGGGCTATAAGGGTAGCTCAGAGGAAATGGTCTAGAATGGAATTTAGCAGAATACTTCACCAAGAACGTAGGTTATAGTAATTTGACCAAATTTTGCCCTCCCACAAACCTCCCTGTGAACTGTGTACACATAACTAATAGCATATGTATATTTAGGTTTCAGAGGAACAGCCGTGTTAGTCTGTATTCGCAAAAAGAAAAGGAGTACTTGTGGCACCTTAGAGACTAACCAATTTATTTGAGCATGAGCTTTCGTGAGCTACAGCTCACTTCATCAGATGTTTCCACGGTAAACATCTGATGAAGTGAGCTGTAGCTCACGAAAGCTCATGCTCAAATAAATTGGTTAGTCTCTAAGGTGCCACAAGTCCTCCTTTTCTTTTTGCATATGTATATTTGTAGAACAATTGGTAGGTACAGTAATTTGTCTTTGGGACCTCCGCCCCAGATGATCTGCACCATTATTCTGTATGTAAAAAAATTCCTAGAGAACCATTAATTCCAGAATGACTCTCTCTTGACAAGAAGAGACCACATGCTGGGAGAGGTGTGGCTTTGGGCATTTCAGCTGTGGAGTTGTTCAAAGAAACTTTGCAAACAGATTTTTGTATAATGGGGAAAAATGTATTTTTTTGAAAAATGACTAGTTTGACCAAATAAACTGTAAAAAAAAAAAAAAAGAAAAAAGAAAAAGGGGGGGGTTCTGAAGGGTTTTGTTTTGTTTTGTTTTAGCTTTTTTGTTCAAACTAGGCTTTTTTCTGCACAAGGAGTAAAAGAATACAATCACAATTGGGATAATAATAAACCATTTAAGTTTCAGCGCCAAAGTTCAAAGTCCCAAGGCTATGAGCAACTAAAAATGAGGTTACAAAGAAAACCACTCTGCAGCCTTAAATACAGCAAGTCTTCCTGCACCTGCAATCTTAAGCATTTCTTGTGAGATATCTGTTTGTGTTAAACATTTCCCATTAATCCATCTTCTACTTTAAATATAGAAAGGGCAGACTAGAAATACACCCTGTAAAACACTGCTCAGAATGGGATCAGCAGATATTTTAGATACTTATGTAAAATTGCCTTATTTAGTCATTAAGCAAAACTTTTTTTAAAAATATTAGAATGATATGGGAGGTCAACGGAGCCTAATAAACAAGTGGACAACTTTCCTGAAAGCAAGACTGGTGTGCTCGATACCTGGCCCTGAGGGAGCAGACACATACTTTGATGAGCTACGTAAGTTGAACTGATCTTTACTATTTTGTTCTGTAATCTGCTCTGTGTTTTGGATTTACAGAAACTCAGGGCAGTGTTCTGATCTCACTCACACCAGTTTTATACTGTGAGCAACTCCACTGACTTTACTCCTGGTATACAGCTGGTGTAGGTGTGATCAGAATTATGCCCTGTTACTTTTACTTGGCTTTTCCCATTTAGGGAGAAGTTCAGCTGATTCCAGGTGGAATACAGCAGATGGCAGAACTCAAAACTTCAGCAAAATTCACAGGACAAAAAATTCAAAATCAAACAAACATAAGAATTAATTGTATGTTTACAAAGCTCCAAATGATAGGGTGGTAAATATGAAAATGTTTATAGGCTGTTTAATAAAAAGAAACTTTTCCCATTACAGAAGATATTTTCTTACTTTCCACAAGAGATGAGAGAAACCCTCTAGTGTATGGAGTCTTCACTACTACAAGGTATGTGTAGGGTCACATTTGCCCCTGGAATCCAATCCTGAAGGCCTCACTCAGGCAAAAACCTCTTAAAGGCAAAGGGAGTTTGCCAGAATAAGACCTGCAGGAATGACCTCTATTCCCCTAGGCCAATATTTTCCAAAATGTGTGCCTTAAGTTATGCTTCATAGTCCTTATGTAGGCATCTAAATAAGTGCCCTGATTTTAAAAAAAGAGTCAGTTGAGAAACAGGTGAATTTTTCACAAAAATCTTCAAGATGTTGAATTTCAAAATTAAAAAAAAAAGTTGATTAGCTTTCAGAGTACCCAACCGCGCTCCTTTTGAAATAAATTCATTCTCCTCTGCTGCCAGACCCTGATTATCTTGTGAGATCAAACAATATGCTGTTGGTCACTTTTCACAATAAAGCACTTTAGAGCAGTGGTTCTCAAAGCCGGTCCGCCGCTTGTTCAGGGAAAGTCTCTGGCGGGCCGGACCGGTTTGTTTACCTGCCGCGTCTGCAGGTTCGGCCAATCGCGGCTCCCACTGGCCGCGGTTCGCTGCTCCAGGCCAACGGGGGCTGCGGGAAAGCGGCGCGGGCCAAGGGACGTGCTGGCTGCCCTTCCCGGAGCCCCCATTGGCTTGGAGCGGCGAACCGCGGCCAATGGGAGCCGCGATCGGCCAAACCTGCGGACACGGCAGGTAAACAAACCGGTCCAGCATGCCAGGGGCTTTCCCTGAACAAGCGGTGGACCGGCTTTGAGAACCAATGCTTTAGAGTGACACATCAGAATAATAGGTGGGGATGGTAATAAGATAATACCTTCTCACCTCACAGGAGGGGAGTGGGGTTGGAAGATTAATTAATGTTTGTGTAGTACTCAGATATTATAGCGAAGAACGTCATAGAAAATCCAATGAGGAAATTAATAATTCTATTTTCAGAGCATGGTTTGAATAGTGTGCAGTAAATGGGGCCACACATTGAACAATAAGGTTACAACAAGATATTGAATAACTGCTGATTAAGTGAGCACCCTCCATCCTGTGAACGGAATGAGGCAGAAGTCCTGTGGGTAAAATAGTGTGTGATCCTGTAATTAGAGACGGTATCAGAATGTATACACACAAGGGGGTGAGTTAAGTTTGCACTGGCAATCTTACCTCTGGCATCCTAACTTTTGAGTATTTGACTCCACATCTTAATAATGTTTAATGTAGGTTTTGTGTGTCATGTAATCTACCTGTTGCAGATGGAATGGAATTCAATCATTCTAGATATAATTTCTATATCAGTTTGTAGTAGTCTTGATTATTGATTTGCATTACAGTAGCACACAAAGGCCCTAACCAATATTAGGGTGCCTTTGGGCTAGACTCAGAGCATTCACATAGTAAACGAGTCCTCATCCTGAAGAATTTATAATCTAAATAGACCAACCAAAGGGGGAGGTGTCAAAGCAGGAGAGTGACATAGAGAAATAACTTGAGTTGTCCAGGTCACACAGTTGATTAGTGGCAGAGCCAGGAGTAGAGCTTAGGTCCCTGGGTCTCAGTCCAGTGTGCAAAGTATGAAAGACACTATAAATGTCAACTATAAGAACAGTATGAATATAATATCAATAGGATGTGTGCCGTATGCAACAAAGCCTCTTGGAACCTTCATACAATTCAGCCAATAAACTGACAAAAATTGAACCCAGTTATAGGATCTTCCCTTAGAAGATTACATAGCCACTGAAGCTATACAGAAGTGAATGAATGTCCGTTTCGTCACACAAAGTGTAAGATTAACACGTTTGCCTATGGCTTGGTTTTGGTTAGATAATTCAACTGTCTTTGTTAGAAAAGACACATAACATTTTATTTATTTATTTTTGGTTTACAATGCTCCTACACATGCCTCTCTAATACTCTGATTGCCTGAACAAGAATTAAAACACAGAATGTTAAATACAAACTGAATGTAATGGGCTGTCCTTCAATCTCTAAAATACACACCCCAAAGTCCTAATCATAATAAGGAATAAGAGGTCTCTGGATCCCTTCACCCACCAAGATAAAAGACGTTTTTTTCAGTATGGCCAAAAGGTTAACAAACCTAGTCTCCAGCGAACCAAAGTTTTAAACTGTAATTCACAGTTATATTATGTATGAGAGTTTTCAAGCCAAAGATATAATCTATACTGTACATAATTAGCACCACCCTCAGTTATAATAATTCTCAGGTATGGGACTTGATCCAAAGTCCATCAAAATCAGAGGACTTTTAACTGTCTTCAGTGAGCTTTGGATCAGGCCTATACTGAAGATTTTAAAATGTGATTATAAACATGCTTCATTTCTTTCAGCTCTGTATTCAAGGGCTCCGCAGTTTGTGTGTACAGCATGGCTGATATCCGAGCTGTTTTCAATGGCCCTTACGCTCACAAAGAAAGTGTGGATCATAGATGGGTACAATACGAAGGACGTATCCCATACCCCCGGCCTGGTACAGTAAGTGTCTCTTTAATTATATACTTCTATTTTTACTCAATGACCATATATTATGTTTCTGAATGGGTAACTTGTATTTTCCTTTCAGGATGTTTTAAATTATCCTCTTAACCCTCCTTCATGTTGACAGCTCAGACTTCTACCTACCCCTTTTTATATATAACTCTTCCGTTTCTCTGAGATAACATTGTGCCCAGACTGTCTATTTCCTGATGGTCTCTCCCACTCTGGGCTCCTCCTGGCTATATTTCCATGTGTAGGTGGAGATCCTCTCTGAGACACCAACACTTCATAAATAGCAGAGTACTTTTTTCTGATGACTATTAAATGATGATGATACATGTTGTTTAAATCTTGTGTTTCTCTGTTTTGCTATATCTTACAGACTTTGGTTTTGATAAAATTCTGTTCCCTTAGATGTGACCATTGATTTTGACTCTGTCATTAATATAAGTTATTTTAAAGTAACATAAGTAATTAGTTGTCATAAATTTTAAGCTATTCTGGTGAAAAACTGATTGATGGGAGGAAAAAGTAAAGCTTAAATCAGGAAATACTTCTCAGTAGTAATCCGCTAGGCCAGGGGTGGCCAACTTGAGGCTGAGAAAGAGCCAGAATTTACCAATGTACATTGCCAAAGAGCCACAGTAATATGTCAGCAGCCCCCTATCAGTCTGTCCCCAAGCCCGCTCCCAGTGCCTCCCACCCACCAGCAGCCTCACCGATCAGCACCTCCCTCTCCCTCCCTGCAACTCCCGATCAGCTGTTTTGTGGCATGCAGAAGGCTCTGGGTGGGGGGGAGGAGCGAGGGCACAGGGGCTCAGAGAAGGGGGTGGGAAGGGGCAGGGCCTGTGGCAGAGCCAGGGATTGAGCAGTGAGCACCCCCCGGCACATTGGAAAATTGGCACCTGTAGCTCCAGCCCTGGAGTCGGTGCCTATACAAGGAGCCGCATATTAACTTCCGAAGAGCCGCATGTGGCTCCGGAGCCACAGGTTGGCCACCCCTGCCCTAGGCCCTGAGGGGAAAAAAGTTGGAAAATTGAAAAAAAAAAAACACTTCTTTATTTCAAAATTTATAATTTAATTAATATTTCAAATACTGACAAAATGGTTGACCTACTCTGTAGGTGGTCAAAAAAAGGATCATTTTTAATGACAAATTTCCCACATTTAAAAATAAAATTAAATATTGAATTGGAAAAATTTGGACCAGCCTAACCATGTGTAGAGAAGAGAGCCAGCTCCACGTTGGGGAGGAGAGGAGAGAGGTGGGAGCCCTGTGTAGCTCGAGACATATAAAGATAGACTGGACGGAGCACGAGAACAAAAGTTCTCAAGCTTCTTTGTGGAGTAATCCACATCTTAATAGAGATTGTCTTATGGGCCTTTTCCCTTCCTATCCATGATCCTACACAATCATACATTGCTGTGAGAAACTGATTACGTGACAGAGTAAACCATGTACATATTTTATGGCCTGATGTTGCCTCTGTCTCAGGCAATAATTCACTATCTAATTTTTGCTCTTCCTTTCAGTCCATCTCTCACTCCTATGTGTTCTGGTCATCCCCCATTTCTCCTTTATTCCCACCCCACCCCATTTTTTTCTCAGCTGTCTGCAGGAACCAATAGTTATTAGACATCTGTGATAAATACGAGCACATTATAAGCTGCTTGTCTGCCCAACCCAGGAAGGACTAATGTCATGCCCAAAGTCTCTTTCAGGCCCATGCCGCAGGGCACAGTTTATCAGTTCGAACACAAAACTCACAGAAACACAAAACGCTATTCCTCTGACCAACACAGGCTGCATTACCCCTGAGGCCTTTTCCTTTGCTCTTCTATCTCCTATTCCTGGCCCAGCCACAGAAACCTACTTCCTTTCAATAGCTCCCCTTTCAGTGGAGCTCTCTCAGCCCTTTGTAGGGAACACCCAGCCCCTGGCTCATAAGGGGGCAGCCCACCCTTTTATGTACATGCAAACAGGTAGACATTTTGATCCAGATTTTCAATCGAGACCTTTAATTTGGAATGACGCCGCAGTTTATGGTTGCCCAACCAGAAATACCCAGGGCTGAGCATGGGAGGTGAGATTCAGAAATCAGGCACTAAGTGTCTCTAACTGCCATCCAGAATTTGAGGTACCCAAAAGTAGAAGCCACATTTGACAATTTGGACCAGAGAACGAACCAACGCTTGCATTCACAGCTCATTACTAAAAAATGCAAGTGCAGTTACTCATAGGCATAAAATAGTGCCCACAAAACCAGAAACTGTCACAGGCCCATGCTGTCTATATCATTGGAATTACTCGTCTGAAACTCCTGCTATGCCCAAGAAAGATGAATATACTAAAACTTCTGTCCTGCCTAGAGGGATCTTTTTTTTGTGTATTAGCCATCACATGCATGAACTGAGATTCACAAGGAAGGAAGTGTGTATGTCAGTGATCCTGTCAGCACTGATCTGTTTCACTGGTTTGGATATCCACATCTGAAAGAATTTTAAAGGTTGCAAGATTTAAAGATAAACTGATACTTTCCATAACCCTTCCCGTAAGTCTGCAGCTACTTCCTTTAAGCACCTGATAACAGCTATGAGAGAATGGTTCCATAAAAAGTTAGGGTCAAATACTAAGGGCCTCCTGACTCAATCTTTTGTCAGTAGACGTCAGTAAGAGTTTTCCTGAACAAGGGTTGAGTAGGGGATATGGCTGTTAGAGAAGAAAGTGCTCTCAAAGTGGTTACAATAATTTACTTTAATAATACAGTAGTACATGTTTACATTATATCTATTTATATTTAGTATTTTTAATACTGGAATCTTTTGTCTTTACTAAGATGGAATTATCCCAGATCTGAACATCTCTGAAATTTGGGGATTTAGTATTTAGTACCCCAGTTAGGATAAATTGCTCATGAATTATCCGCCACAGCTGCAGTTCTGTTTGGGCACTGGGTGAAAGTACAATAGCCACTCTGCTCAAGCAACCCCTGAGGGCAGCATGAGAACAAAAACGTACAGTCCTCAACTCTTTTTTTTCGGTGGTTCTGGGCAGCATGCTTCAGATAAGGCACAGATATCAACCTTCAGACTTTTCAACAGCTTGACGAGGAGAGTGGCTTAGCTGTTTCGGACAAAGTTTGAACATCCCAGGCCCAATTTTACATATGCTGCCAACACTCAGGATACAGGAATGGCCCTTTCACAAGTTTTCATTGGGCATTTTTTCCTCAGTGGCAGAGAAAGTCTTGGCCATTTCAGCTCCATATTAAGTGGTAGGACACAGTCAGCAATGAGGATATTTGTAGCCAAACCCAGCAATGGATGTCCATCAGCACTAGTTCAATTTCGCCAGCTTTCCTGGTATGGATATAATAGGAGGAAGACCAACAAATTACAAAACCTGTTTACCAAGGAATGCAGCTGCTCAGATCAAGATCACATGGTCACCAAAAGATTTGGTGATGCAGTGAGATGGCCAGTGATGGACATAGACTGAACATCCAGCCAGATTGTTCTAAGGACCTAGCTAGAGATTGATCCCAGTGGTGCTTGATCTGCAAGGAGACTACATCCCTTTGGGAGGTGCCTTGATGATAATGATCTGAATCAGGATCCAAATTCAAATTAAGTGGCAGGACCCGCATCTTGTAATAGGCTAAACCAAAACCCTGGATATGAATAGTCTTAAACTTTGGGGAAGAGGAAACTCCCTTTGTGTTATACTCCCACATAAGGTTCTGGGCAGATTTGCAGCCCCTCTGATCAAGGGAGCACAGAGTTAATACCAAGACCCTCCACCATGTAATACAGAACCCAAAAGAGGGGACGAGATGTAGTTGGAAACATGCTTCCTCCCTGCCTATATGCCAGTCAGTAAAGTTTGCTACACACATCGGGGGATAGGAGGTGAGGTATGCTGCATGTCTTAAGTGTGTTGCGTTTTGAGTGTTCTCTGGATGCTGGAGTCACTACCCCTCAAGGTCAGATGTCACCTGTGGTCCCTCTAGCATGGGGTAGCTTAGTACTGCTCAGGGCTATGCAAAATAGATACAATTTAGCCCTTAATAAATTAGTATTTGGAAAATAGAAAGATCTGTATAAGGGCTAAGACACAATTAGGGTGTACAGAGCTCTTCCTGGATTCATTATATTTCTTATGTTATATGCTATGGGTTGCTTAAAAAATGAATACACTGTGAAATGTATTCCCTTTGATGTTGGGCTTCCAGAGATGTGTTGGCTTCCTTTAAGCATTTATACAGAAGCTGGAGACTGTTACCCTAATTTAACATTCTACTCAACTAATGTTATCTCCGAATTAAATAAAGCTGCTCTCTATATATGCTGTGACTACGCTGATATTGAAATTTTGACAAAATGCTTCCTGTGGCAATTTGTGTTAGCGATGAACTCCCAGCATGACCATGACATCATGACTCCATAATGCTAAACTGTATAGAAGCAGCAGGATCCCTTGTTTGCTTCAGTTTCTTTCTTGCATTGTTTGCCTGCCCTCTGGTGTTAATTCAGGGACCATTGATACACCACACTCCTAGGCTTGGTCAGTGTGTGATGTATGCCTCTTTTGGCCGGGCCTGTCCCACTGGTGTAAATTGGAAGCTCTAGGAAATAATGGAAATTAAACAAGGGTGAAATAACTGAAATACAGTATGCTGGAATTTGGGAGCTGAAGACAGGGACAAATCAAAAATAACATTAGGCAGATCTGAAATGAAGGTCCGTTTGAAAAGCAAGCCTACTTCATTCTGATTTTCTTTCACCTCTTAAAAATTGAGATTGCATAACTGCTGTTGCCACTAGAAAACACTACCTAAGGATTCAGCCAGGAAGCTACCATTAACATTAGAAGAAGATCAGGACTAAATCTCCAAAAACTCTGTTTAAAATGTATTCTGAAGATTTTCACACTTATAATCAGTGCTTGATAAAGTTCTTATGTCAGGTAGAAGGCATAAGAGCAGGATTTTGATTAA